AAGATTCACCCGACAATGTCTTTTTTATTATATTTTCCTAATTATCAAATAAGTTGCTTTGAACCCAAATCAAAATTGGGAATTATATCCAAATTTAATGCTCTAGTTTCTGTTTTCGACCATCTTTGTGATTATTAAGGACTAAACCTTGTAAATTATGGTAGACAACATATAAACAACGTGTTGTATAAAACGCTTCCAGCGCTTAACTGCACTGGGAAGTGAATGTCCAAATATTTTATACATATTATTATTATTTTATACACTTATTAAATATCTTATATACACTTTAAAATAACGGTAGCGAAAGATATTTTATTCAATGCAGATTGCGGTTTGTATAGTGATAGTTTCAAATATTGTGTCTTTCCTTGCAATGACTATTGTATAGTATTTTGGTATTATCTACTAATATTTGTCTTATTGTAATACTTGCATTTTAGTTTTTTGTGGTCTGATGATCGATGCTAGCACGAATTGTACTAAGTTTCGAGAAGGGACAAGTTAATCTACGAGGTATTGTGATGTATGGTGTGTGGCCTATGTAAGAATTTAATGTTGTTACATGTAGCGGATATGAGCACAATTAGGTGTCAGCAAGGTGTTTCAGCAACGATGAGTCACGTTTCTGATGGTCCAGTACATATGTCAAACCACAAAATGAAGAGCACCTCAAAATCGCATAGCCAATTACGGCGCCAATGTCGAAAAGCAAAGTATTCATAACTGAAAACTTGCTTCATTTTTCGGTGTTATTTTTGTCCCAGTATCTTTTGTAGTTTCACTGGAAATAAGTTGGAGGTATTTCTTTCAGATTGTCTATAATCTATCCGACCTCATTTCAAGCCTCGACTTCAACTCTGACAAAATTGTCAAAATTGATTGGTATTCACGCCGATACAGACTACTTAAACATTACATAACAGTTCAACGTTCTTTCTTTATAAATAAGAATGAACAAAATATTTTATTTTTCTGCCTCCACACGAGTCCAAAGTTAATAAAGAGTCTGTTTAATGTTCGCTCCGCTTACGCGTAAAAGTTATCGAGGCAAAAATTATTCAAGCTCGCCCAGCGGTTCCGTTTAGGGACACCTCAAGCTACAGGGTAATAGGAGGGGGTGTAGTCTTTGTTGAGGCATGCATCCCTGGAGCTGGAGATATTATACTCCTTATTACATTTACCACGAATGAATTCAGTCCGGGGCTATTCCATACTTGTACGTGTTTATAAAAACATACATATATACTTACGTTGAGGGCACCTCGACGTGGTGTAATGGTTAGCAAACTTGTCTAGCTAGAACGACTGAGTAGTGAGTTCGATCCTCACGGGTGCCCCATACTTTCGGCCATGTGCTACGCTTGGAAAATTCCTATATACTTACGTTGATATGTATATGTTTGAATAAAAAACAGACCACGTTAAGATTCCATGTAATAAGCTATTTCACCATAACCCCTTTAACAGGGATCTGAATCATCAGACTTTACTTTCAAAAGCTAAAAAGAAATTCACACGTTTTTGACGGACCTCATCAAGTATACGTAAAATTAACGAAGTGAGGTGGGAGAGAGGATATGAATGTATCATTTCAATTTCCTATTTTTAACCCCCAGTGTGTGTTGGATATATATATATATATATATATATATATATATATATATATATATATATATATATATATATATATATATATATATATATATATATAATTTGGGATCAAATAAAGATTCACGGGCCATGTCTAATAGATGTTAGTTATCAGTTATCTCCTGTTAATTCCCCTCTCCAAGTTCTCCACTGCCACTGTATTAAGGTTTGTAACGGAATGGCATCTCTTCCATGCGAGTGTTACTGTTATCATGTAATCCAGTACTACGTATGGATGTCAGTTACATCCAGTGACAGGACCCAAAGAGTGTGAGTTCAATACCCGGTTAAGCCAGTGGAGAACTTGGAGAGGAGAATTAACAGGAGATAGCTGATAACTGACATCCATTAAACGTGGCACGTGCAACTAGAATAGTCTACCCCAGTGAGCGAAATAAAGGGTTCAGTTCGACATTCCAACCACCTGAAGAAAGCCGGAGCGTACAACGGGCGAAACGTTGTAATAAATATGGCGAAAAAGATGAGGCCAATAGTCCGAATAATGTAAATAGTGTAGGTTATTTAAAGCCAGAAAATATTTTTAGATTGTAAGATTTCCTGATGGTGGAGTATAATAATGGTTTAGTGATACCAGCACTACTAATTAACCCATAGCTGGTGCGAGAAGTGGTGGATTCCCGCTGTTCTCAAATGTATTTGCGCTTAAATGAATATAACGAACCGAATGGGTTTTGGAACTCGGCTCTCCGATTAACAATTACTCCACCGACAGATCTAAGCACCTGTTATTCCCAAGCGGTCACCCATTTAAATACTGACCAGGTTCGACATTGCTTAACTTAGGTGATCGCACGGAAACTGGTCTTTCAACGGGATCTGGCCGTAAGCCTTTTCCAGTCTCGGGTTAACCATTATCTATCCTCCATATCCTAAAAATCTGTTTTTTTTATCTTCTCCTCTTATGCCCATACAGCAACTCCATTCAGTAACCCTCTATCTCGAGTGGCTCTTGGGCATTGTAATGGATGATCAGTTAGTAAAAGAAAATAATCTGGTTAGTTTTTACGGGTAATGATATAGAATTACATGATCGGCGCAGAGTTTTGAGGCTTCAAAATTTTAGAACGTGAGAAAGGATATTAATGTTAATAACGTTCAAGGGAAATAGTCTCCGCTTTATTTCACACACGCACGCAGGCGCACAAGCACATACACACACGCGCATGCGCACACACACAACCGAAGAAAAAAACTTTTATATGCGTTGAATTAGAATTTTTTTTTTACTCTGTGATAAATATAAGCTGTATAAAAATACTTGACAATAAACTTCTGCTTTCCGCTGTGTACGCTATAAAGTGACACATTCAGAGGGCCATGCGGAATTAGCTCGCATCCTAGAGGACGCCAAGCCACGTGCATACACTTTGGTCAAAACGTCCTTGAACAATAATGAGCATTCAATTTATCATGAAAACACACTTGTCAATACGAATCCGGAGATAGACAGAAATAAATAAATAAATGCTCCATTATCAAGTAGATTTGTGTATGATAATGCAGTAATTATTTAAATTCTTTACAGTCGAACTAATGTCCGCATCTCTGTTTATTATCATTACAACTTTTCGGCCGTTGTGTCTTCTTCAGGTTTGGCCAAACTATGGAATTTTATTTAATGTACAGAGATAATATATAGAGGGAACTTTCTGTTAATAACAACAAATTTGAGGACATTATTCCGAGTGTAAAGAATGCAAATAATCATAACATCTCATTCCAGATTTAAACATAAACATTGCAATGGTCGTTTACACGTTCATCGTATTCAGCGGATAAATACAGAAAGATGCTCGTCATAAAATCGGAATAATAGAAAAAGTGAAATACATTCTACTCCGGCATAAATTCATTAGTCACCTTGAGCGACCATTATTGGAATGCATTCTACACTGAGATGATAGGTGACCGAGTTCGAGCCCACGTAAGATTGGGGTTTCAATTTTTTTTTTCTTTTTTCTTAAATTCTCAAAGTCGGGCTCACTGTTTGCCGTTTTAGTTTCTTTAAAATTAAAACAGGTATGCTGGTAGTGTAATGGTTAGCGAGTCGGAAGAACAAAATGGACGTGCCGAATTTGAAGGCCGAATCCAATAAGCTCACTTTCGCACAAATACATTTGAGAAAGTTATGGATTTGTCACTTATCCTTCAAGCAAGGGGTTAAATAACAGGGCATTCTGGGCTATATTGCTTTGAAGGGGCAACCAGTTTAGAAGGAAAACAAGCCTGATGTTATTTATTTTTTTCATATAGTAGAAATATTCACTAATTAAGGTTTTAATTGTTAATAAATTACATTTATTCGGTTATAAAAAAAGTGTTATGGGGTCCACCTTTTTCGGATATAATGGACTCGTCCTGCTGCCATAAAATAGCTACAGTCAGGCAGAGAAGAGGAGTCGTACAAGAGTCGTACATGAGTCGTACAAGAGTCGTACCGGAGTCGTCTGTGAGTGTCGGTAGTCGGATAGAGTGAGGTACCCTCTTGTAGAAGTCAGTTACAAGCACGTAGACTCTAAGGAAGTCCTACTTCGAGACTGTATATATCTATCTGTATTTGATACTAACCGGCGTTCCTGGATTTTACTAACAGCATTACCTTTTGTATTTTGTGTAAATACATTACATTTCTTAGCTTAAATACTTGCGTTTGTCATTTATTGGATACCTATTTTTCACGCGGGATCCACAACAAAATGTTATGTTTTTCTGGTGCTGAGTTGTCTCGGTCTTGAGTTGTCCCGGTGCTAAGACTGTGGTGTTGAGTTTACGGTATAGAATTGTCCTGCAAACGAAACAAACATTAGAAGCGAATAAAGTTTACTTAGAAAGTGTACCAGCAAAAGAATGATTTGTGAGGAGTGGTGATCCGTTGGAACAATTTAAACCAGGGGTCGGCAACTGTTTTGAGAAAGCGAACCAGACAGCCATGATATCAATTCAAATGTAATATAATAAAATGTCTCGACCTCAGATCACTCCGTCCAGAACGGGAAGGGACAACACAACACCGGCGACTGAGCAACGCCGACATAGTGAATATTTTTTAAATTATTTTTAATAAAGTAAATCATAAAGAAATTTATTTTTTTATTGAATAAAAGTATTCACTAATTATGTTTTTAATCCTTAATAAATGACTCTTATTCGGTTATAAAAAAAACAAAAAAAAAACTTATGTGGTATTGGAGGAAATACTCACTCGGGAGACTTGCACAAAGTGGTAGTTCTTTGGAAAAAGCTGTCTGGGTGAAACTTCCTCCTACCATTTGGAATACGGGGGTAATGAGGGTGATTCGACATTGTGATAGCAGCATGACGTGCCCTAGTTCTGGAGGTTTGAACTGGTGAAACAAGTGAATGAAGTTCATCTGCCCAACGACATTAATTGGTTATGTGACATGAAGAAACTTATAGCAAAAAGATTACAATATGAAAAGGTATTTTCACATCAGAGATCCAAGCAAAATGAGCCCTGTTTGCTGAAGCTATTATCAGCCTGACAAAGTGCCATGAGTCGATTGTTCACCGTATCAATGGTTCATTATGATAATTTTAATGCCCTCTTTATGGCATTCATGTGTTATTGACTTCTGTTATGAATATGAAGCAATCATTTTTACGCTGTTCTATATTGCCCAGTGTCAGTCAAAAAGTAATATCTTTTCGATGTGTACTTTAAAAATGTGGGTCAAAAATTCCTAGCTGTCTTTCTTTTTACTCCTCTTCTTTGTTTTACCTATATGCCATGAATTCCAGATATTTTTAGGGTTACCTTATCTTTTTTCCACCGTCTTTCAAAATCGCTGCCAATCTTGGTATACGTAGAAATTAATGATTTTATGATAAGTACAGTAAGGAGATGAGCCAGTACAGTTAATGGCAATCACAGGAAAAAATGATTTTAATGACAGGCTCTACAGTGGCAGGCAAGCTGCTTCTGTGAATTAGGGTAAACCTAAGCAGGCCGACGCTCTCATTTACAAACGTAATGCCTTTACAAATTTCACTTTAAAAATGTTACTCAAAACTTCTAGTTTTCTTTCTTTCTTGTTTCTTTTCTTTATTTTATCTATAAACCATGAAGAATCTAGAAGTCCAGAAGAAATTTTTGTGGAATTAATTTCTCTTTTTCATACCATAACCCTCTTTAAAAATCGCCACCCCTCTGGACATAGGTAGAAATTAAAGAGTTGCCATAGAATTTCTGTTTTCGAAAGGGTAATTATTGCAAACATTCGCAGGTAGTTAGTAAATGTTTATGGAAACGCTTCACTTGATATAAGTACAGTAGGGTGACGAGTCCGTTGTGTTAATTGCAATCCCAGGGGGAAAAAAATGAAAAACTGACTTTAGTGACAGGTACTCCAGTGGCAGGCTAGCTGCTTCTACGAATTAGGATAAGGAAAAAAAACTTATTATAGCTGAAAAAAGAATGTTGTGGGAAAATTCTGTGAAAGCATCCGGGTAAGCCATGGTAGTGGTTGCAGTTTAACGCAGTCACTTCTCTAGTCCATGGCTTGTGCAAAGTGGGTTTCCAGAATGCTGACAGACTCCATGGAGGAGGAAAGGGTGTTTACTCACCTGGCACCGAGAGATTGTTTGGAATCAGGAACAGGCAGGAGTTCGCCACTGATGATGAGGAGAAAGATGCAATTTGCATAGAGCTGCTATAAAGCTAAGGTATACAAGCCTTCATTTACAGGTGGAATACCGGTGTTGAGAAGGAAGAATACGATGTTGAAGATTGGATCTGGGATCAAAAAACCTTTGTGCTTATTTTGTTATTCTTTTTATGCTTCTATTAAACCAATTGTAATTAAAGAAGAACAGGTGTTATTTTTTAACCAACACTTACACATTAAAGTAAAAATAGATTAAGAGAAAACAGCTATCAACCCTGAACACAAAATCAAAACTCTGAACATGGCTTCTTTGAACTAGGTCACATGTGAAGATGAGTAATAGATTTTTCGCAACATAAAAATGCAATGCCTCAGAGTAGCTTAAAGACTAGACAATCATAACACATGGTTGGACAATGTTGCCTCATCTATCATCTACAGTCCTAAACTGGCCCTCTTCAAACTTTCATCTATTTGGGCCCATGAACAGCGGTTCTTCAATGATGAACTGCACATGGCTAAAAAATGAAGCTATAGTATACATGCTTTCATTCATGATTGAGGAAGGAGACTATGTTGAAAACTATATTTGGAATTCAGAAACTGCAATGTTCATTTTGGTATACTTTGTATGCTTCTATTAAATCAACTGTAATTAAAGAAGAACAGGTGTTATTTTTTAACCAACACTTACACATTAAAGTAAAAATAGATTAAGAGAAAACAGCTTTAAGTGACAATATATGGAGAGAGAGAGAGAGGGGGGGAACAGGAATTCAAATACTGGATACTTTAAATAATTAAATAAAAACTGCAAGTGCACAAGTTAACTGGAATATAAATGTAATCAAACACAGCTTCAAAGAAATTACTTAATTTGTGACAAGATAGTAATAACACTGAGATCAGATTTTAGAAGCTAGTGAGGAGTAATCATTTGTTCTTTCTTCTACTCTTTGAACATCCATTTTAATTGCAAACTATCATCGTTAAAACTAATCATCAATAGTAACAGTATTTGTGCTTTGTTTAAGATTTTGTTAACCACCATTACTTTTCATATCAAACATTCTTCATACTGAAACAAAAAGATCACTATATGTTTCATACCAATAAATCTATCCTGTCTTAATTATTCTATAAAATTATCTGTTGATAGAAACCATTTTTCATCAGGACATTTTCCATAATTTTTTAAAAT